TATTCTAAAAGAGAAAAAAAAAAATCCTGTGGTAACCTTAATTATCAGCATGGAAATGGTTAATTTTTACTGAGCACAATGTATTTTTGAATGGGCCTTCCAAAATATGTCTTTAATAAAAATGCAGATTTTGCACTAGAACCCTGGCACTGTTCAACAGCTGATCTTATTCCTGACACGTCTCTTCCAGAGCACCTCTTCATATGATAGCCTGGCTCAGATGAGTGGATGGTCCTGGACCAAAACCTGGTTTTGGTTCCTGGTCCTGAACCAGAACCAGGACTTCTGTGCCCAGTGGGTCACTGCCGGGTCCAGGAGCACCTCCTCCTTGCAGAGGTCACTTGTATCTGTCCACAAGCCTGATGTTTCCATGGGATGTTTCCAAAGGGCAATGTCTCTGAAGCACCTTGTTGCCCACCATTCCTCTAGCCTCAATGCAGAACAGATTCTTCCTTGCAGGGCAAGAATGTCTGCTGTTCTCTTGTTTGAACAGTACCAACCCACCAAGCCCCTTAGCAGGCACCACCAGAAATTAAAAAGGCCCTGAAAGTTTCCAGCCCACAGTCTTCACCACAGGAGGAGTGTCATAATGACATTTTGTCATTGTCACATGTAAACTGAGACACTTCTAGGCAAATGTTGAGGTGTTGAGGTGTCAGCAATAAGTGGTTTTGATGGGTTCCTCTTTAATGTATCCTGGCTATGAGGTTGTTTGTTTTTTTGTTTTTTTTTTTGTTCTGTGTGCAGCTTTAAAAAAACTTTTAAGTATTTCCCTGCTAGTCTCTCATTCTTTGGGGTAATTGGAAACAAACTCAGTAGGGACCACTTTTCCTGGGCCTCCTTTCTTTCCCTCTGAGCTCCAGCAAGACTTGCTGAAAGCCAGGACTTGCAGTCTGTTAGATCCCTCTGAAACACCTTCCTGATGGGTTGTGCAGCAACCACAGCCAAGCTGGGTGAAACCAGGCTGCTGCCAGTGCCTGCACTGAGCTGTGCCCATGACCTCTCTAAGAGGGAAATTTCCAGACTGAGCAAATGGCTTCAACTTCCACCAGGAAAAGCAGTCCAGCATTTTAATATTTCCATCCAGAAATTGGGTTGAAATGCATTTCCTTGAGGTGCCCAGTGCTCTGGGAACTTAGCTTAACTCTTAAAACCTTACTTGGCTCTTACTCTTCCAACAATCTTGTTTAGTAACCCCTCTTCTGTACTGCCTGAAGAGCCCCAGAAACTGGAGTGGCCATCTCCTTGAATAGCCTGAGCACCTCGATGTGGTATCCCCAGTGTAGTAAATATTAAATCCCCATGGGATGGAGGGCAGAGTGGACATTTTTCTCTGGAAGGAAATGAAGGGATAATTTCTGCAAGTTCCTGTATTCCATTAAGATAAAGGGGCTGTTGATTTATGAAGTGATGAATGAAGTGGCTGGTCTGGAGGCCTAAGGCAGTCTCTGATCAGGTAACTTAGACTGTCTGAGTACAAACTTCTCAGCACCTTGTTCCCTCACTTTTCTCTATGCAATCCATCCTAAAAATCCAGGTCATAAAGCTGAAAGCTGTTCTTGGTCCTACTTCCTATTTCAAACCCCTCGTGTTTTATGCAGTTGCAAAGTCACACATTGGTCTCCCTATCTCTGCAGGTAAAGCCTGCAGGATTGTTGAGCATCTTTGTCAGTGGAATGAGTGTGCTCTCACCAACCCCTGTTGTGCAGCTGACAAGCTGGAGGGAAGGAAAACCCATCCAGAGGGAGCTGAGCAGGCTTGAGAGCTGGGCCTGTGCAAACCTCATGAAGTTCAACAAAACCAAGTGCACGATCCTGCATGTGGGTCAAGAAGGTCATAAGCAGAAATACAGACTGGAGGAGGAGCAGATCAAGAGCACCGCTTAGGAGAAGAGCTTGGGGCTGCTGGTGGATGAAAAGTTCAGCATGAGACAACAAGGCCGATCGTATCCTGGACTGCATCGAAAGCAGTGTGGGCAGCAGGGTGAGGGAGGGCATTCCCTCCCTCTGCTCTGCTCTAATGAGACTCCACCTGGAGTGCTGTGCCCAGGTCTGGGGCCCCCAACACAGGAAAGATGAGAACCTATTAGAACATGTCCAGAGGAAGGTAACCAATTTGTTCACAGGGCTGGCACATCTCTCCTATGAGAAAAGGCTGAGAGATTTGGGCCTGGAACAGAAGGCCATGGTAAGGCTGTATAGCACCTTCCAGTACCTAAAGGCAGCTGCAATAGAGCTGGAGAGGGACTTTCACAAGCACATGTAGTTATAGGATAGAAGGTATTGGCTCTAAGCTAAAGGAGGGCAGGTTTAGATTAGATATTAGGAAGAAATTCTTCACTGTGAGGGTGGTGAGGCACTGGGACAGAGTGCCCACAGAAGCTGTGGACTCCCCATCCCTAGAGGTGTTCAACACCAGCACGGATGGGGCTCTGATAAACCTTGTCTAGTAGAAGATTCCCCTGCCCATGGCAGGAAGATACGAGCTAAATGATATTTAAGGTTCCTTCTAACCCAAACCATTCTGTGATTCTATGATTATGAGGAAAAGCTTTAGTATTTATGTAATTATAATTCAGCTGGTACTGTCTCACTTTCATGACGATCTCAGTCACACTGTTACTCCAACATGCTGAATTTATGCAGAAGTCAAATGCAATTCTAAAAGCATTTTAGGACCACCTAATTAATTAAGCCTCTGAGCACTCTTTACATAAGAGGCATAGGTTAAGTGAATTTCTGGAGGTCAATTAGCAAGTGAGCTGCATAGCAAGGATCAGAACAGAAACTCCTGGTTTAGCAGGAACCATTTAGTTACAAGTCAGAAATAAGTCCTTTCCCCATGCAAGTGGAGAGGTGAACTGGAGACAAAGGACAGGGCAAGGCAAGAGGCAAATGAACTGTGAAATGCACTGAGTTCCATCTTATGCATTGCCATACATTTCAATCTAGAAAGAAGTCTAGTGATTTCTTTGAAGATGGGAGGCTGGAAGAGTGATAGCACAGGTCCTTTCTACCCAGAAAATATTTTTTTTCCTCCAAGGTTTTATTATATCCTTTCTGTAGGATCAGTCATGTAAAGACATATAATTTAGTGTGGTGCCTTGGTGTATAATGGTGTATGTTCCATCCATTCAGGCTGTGCATTAAGCCTGCCAGCTCTTCCAAATCTCACAAGACCTTCTGGCCTTTGCCATCGGGTTCATTTCCAAAACCAGACAACTGAAAAACCCTGGACCATGCACAGGAGCTTGTCAGAGGCCAGTCACAAACAAGGCTTTGACTAGCTACAGTCAAGCTTAATTGCTTTGGAATGATATAAATGTTCACCAGCTTGTGCCCACTTCATCCTTCTGCCTCTCGCAGCCAGCCCTCCACTCCTCAGTCATGCAGGAAAACATCAGCACCAAGCCTCTTCCCCCATTACCATCCCTCAGGACATGGAGCAGAGCTGCCTGTGCTGCTTTTAGGGCAGGGAGAGCTGTGTGTTAACATGTTGGCAAACTGCAAACAGGGCCTGGAAACACTTTAGCTTTCAGTGTTGGTGTTAGTGAGACAAGACTGTGACAGCTGCTGCCCTTGTCTCCCTGGTGCTGGATGTGCAGCCCCGGGAGGCTGCTGTACCATGCTGGTCCCACAGCTTGGCTGCTGAGGAAGTGCCTCAAGCTCAGTGGATCTTCTCAGTAGAGCTTTCCTTGACTGTTCAGCATTAAGAGACCCACACAGTGATTTCTTACTAAGAAAATGTGTCCCTAGACAAATTTGTGGGTAGGCAAAAATCCTGTCCATGGATGAGGAGGTGGGAGGAAGGCAAGGGACTGTTGGTGTATAACAATCATCTCAGCAGATGGGAATTGGTCTTTTTTACATCTCTGTAGACTTCATGCTGTTGGTTAGTGGGGCAGCTTTCAGAGTTGCCAGAAGAGCTTATTTCCCTGACAGCTATTATTTGTCTCTATATACAGGAATAAAGCAAGGTGGAAATATCTGCTCTCACAAATGAATGTGATTAATTGCACAGCCATCCAAAACCTTTTGTCATGTTTTTGGTCACATCTGATTTGTTTTTAGTCATATCTGTACTCCTGCCCTGCATACTGAGCATTCACCTCTCTGCCCATAGGGATAAGGAGAGGGCAGGAGAGGCAGACAGGCTGCCTCAGTGCCACTGTCTTCATGCCTCTCCTCTCTTCCCTGAGACAGTTCAGGTTCTGTTGGTGTGGGCCTTTGGGATGGATGCACAGATTGCTGGAAAATAGGGAAAAGGCCTCTAGTGCCTGCCAGGTTTGTGCGGCAGGTGTGTGGGAAGGCAAACCAAACCTTCATGGGAGCTGTGGGGGTTGCAGGTCCCACCTAAGCTGTGCTGGGCATCAGCTCCTGGGCTGAGGCAGGGACATGAACCTCAGCAACAGGATTGTCACCTCAGGAAGATGGGTTCAACATCCACATGCCCCAAATTCCTTGGGTGCTAAACACCCACTGGACATTGGGCCATGGAGATCAAACAGTTAATAAGAGTGACTCCCTGTATCTGTGCCCAAGCATCCACAGGGAGCAAAGTGCTTGGGTCCCCAAAATGTGTCAGTGCAAAAACGGAGTAGGTTTGTCTGCCTGGTGCTCAAGGCACTGATGTCTGTCCCAAAACCAGGCATAGCAGCTCAGGCCAGATGGTTCCTGATACAGGCAAACATGAGGCGATTTGAGAGTGTGATAGTCAGATGGAGGCCCTCGTGCCAGGCCAGATGAGGCTCCAGCCCCATCTCAGGGCATGAGGGTGAGATGTCTGTCCTGGCATACACCTGCCCTTCATGAGAGAATTCCAAGCTTGCCTGTGGACCTCATCTGCATGTATTCCAGTGTTCACAAGACATCGTGATGAACATTTCCCCAGCCTAACACCCAGGTCAGAAACACCACATCTCACAGGATCCAAGCCATGGCCATGAACCTTCCTCTTCCCCAGTGTGTGTCCCACATCCCCCATCAGCCGTATCACCGGGTATGGTGTGAAGTAACATTTTATTCAAGACAGCCCTTCCCTTTGCAGGCTGGGCGGCAGGACGGGGCAGGGCGGCTGCGGGGCAGCGCTACCCCGGAGCCCCGGACGCAGCGCTCAGCCGCACTTGCCCAGGCACTCGAGGAGCTCCATGCGGATGGCGATGCGCACGTGCCAGCCCAGCGGGATCAGGCGGATGTAGCGGGCCACGATGGGCGGCCGCAGCAGGTTCTGCACCGAGGACGAGCGGTCGGAGTTGCCATAGAAAACCTGTCAAGGGAGGGGTGGTTAGGGGGCTGGAAATCCTGTCCCATGAGTTTGGGGTGCCTGTGCAGAGCGGAGGAGGAGGAGGCGCCTTCCCGTCCACCCTCAAAACAAAAGACTTTAAAAGCAGCCAGATGTAGACAATTTTTGTCACACTGATTCAGTTTTCTTGGTAGGCCATTTTCCCCCATCTTTCCTGCACTTTTTACAGTTAGGCCAGAAAATCTCACCCCATTCTCATCCCATTCTCTCTCATTTGCCTTCATATACCAAGGCACTTCTAGTTAGGAGTGAGCATGATTGACTTTGGCTTGTTGAAGTTCATGAGCCAGGCTCCTACACAAGCCATTAAAGACAAAAAAAAAAAAAAACATATGTGAGAGCCCTTTCCCCATTCCTTGGCCTGGATGTCACATCTGCTGCCATGACCTACTTTTTTGGGAAAGCTCAGCATCTCCCCAGGGCTGCAGGAACTTCAGCAAAGCCAGCAGAGCCTCCTATGCTAGGACAGGGCCATTCCCATAGATGAGCATTGAGGATACCTGGAAGGCAGCAACTGCGGCATCCCTCAGTCCAGCTGGACTGCACAGGGATCAGAGGCAACTCTGTAATATCTCCCCAATGCAATCTTTTGTTTCAAGTCAACCAGTAAGAAGTGCAGCATGAGAATGGTTTGGTGGGTTATGACTTAACTAGTTGCAGATCTTGTCTGAGGGGTTTTTCTGCACCAGGATGACACACTATCCCTGGACATGGCAATAAAAGAAATCCCCGTGCAGTGCTGAAGCATGGCTGGGGCTGTGTGGCCACAGCTGAGAAAGGAGTTTTGTCATGGAGTTGCTACCTTCTCTGCAGTGCCAGTTAATGTCTCTGAGTTTAATCTGGACTCCAGAATGATCATTAGAAAACACAAATAATGTCCTTCTGCACTGGTCAGCATGACACATTCTCACCTCAGGGGGAATGGCCCCTCTCTGTGCTGCTCCCTGAGGCACAGTGAGCACTGAGACCCACCCTGCTGCTCCCACAGGATCCCCCTTTGATGCACCTTCCTCTGAGACCTGTTGTCACCAAACATGCCACCCTTCCACCAGTGGCCAAAGAGCCAAGGTCACTGACCCGGTTGTTCCCAGTCTGGTCCTTGTAGTACACCCAGTTGAGGTTTTCATCGGTGCGGTACTGCACGCTGTACTTGGTCATCCACTCGTCAGCGTCACAGCGCCCTTGGGTGAGGATCCCCGAAATCACCTTCACCTCCTTCAGGTCGATCTGCAGCCACTGTGCAGTGTCCTGGTACTTGGAAAGCCATGCACACCTGGGGAGACACCACCAGCCCTGCTCTGTCCTCCACTGTGCCCTCCCAGGCAAACCCTCCTGCCCCCACACAGCCAGGGCTCCCCAGCCCCCACACTCACAGCCCCCAGGACCCCTCAGGGGGGCATTTTTGAACTCACCCGAAGCCTTGGCCATTGAGGCGAGCCTTGTTGGCTGTCCAGGAGGAGTACCAGCCTGTGTACTGCTCAGGGTTGGAGCAGCTGATCTGGTCTGGGGTGACAGCACCAGACTCAAAGCCCAGAGGCTTGTGGTAGGGACACTCTGCAGAACAAGGGAAAAAACACTTAAGGGACAGAAGTGGCTCTGTTTTCTGGGTGTGTTTGCACACATTTTGTGAACACCTCCTGGGGTTTCATTTCTCTCTCTTCTCCCTCATTAGAATGCTGGGATTCCTCTTATCCAAGAGCAACCTGCCCTGGGGCCACAGGGTCTTCATTTCTAACCTTCCCTTCTGTTAATTTCTAACTCTTCTTTCTCTCTCAAACTTACTAGACTTGTTCTGACTGCAGCATTTTGGAGGAAAAGCTTTATTCAGATGTTGCAGTCTGAATCTCCCTTCATGTGGAAGAAGAGCCTGATTGGTTGCATCAATCTGGATCCAGCCTCCAGGCTTTTTGCCTTGAGTAACTCTGGGCACTTCTTTTCTTGCTGGGCTTTATTTCCTTCTGCCCCTCCAATTATTGTCTTGATTTATGGCTCTACTTGCATGGCAAAATTGCTGAGCCAGCTCAGGTCATCCCTCCACAAGCACCCTCAGATCTACATCTCTTTGCATCTGGAGGTGGCCTTGCCTTGTGGAAAACTTGCAGGCACTCTGGTGCCAGTGAGGTGTCATGCTCAACCCTGCTGAGGGCTCAGGGATTTCTATCTCAGTTTTTGACTGCAGATCTTCAGGGTAACAATCCTGCCCCCACAGCTGTCTTCTGCAATAGTGAGAAATTCAACATAACTATCACTGGCTGCAAAACTACTGGAGAAAGAAATACCCCTCATTAAAACTTTCTGTGGTGGGTCACCACGCAGTGCTGTGGAAGGTAAGACTTCAGTGAGGCTGAGCACCTTCAAGCTACCTGGACTTAGTTGCGGGGATTTTTTGTTATGATCTCTTTTTTTATGGAATCAGGTTATCATTGTGCATCAAGTTACATAAAATGAAGGCACTCGGGTGTCATATAGGGATTGCCTAGGCAAGCATCTATATAATGGGCAGTATTTTCTGATTTTGCAGCCTGTGGAGCCTCTGGAGTCCCCAGAGGTAATTCTGTCCCTTTCTCCAGTTTAGCAAAGTCTATTTCACGGGTCTCAGCAAAAAAGGAGCAAGCAAAGCTCTTCTCAGTTCACTTGTGGATGAGAGGTTTCCTTGCCTTATCCATGCCTAAACAACCACCGTGGTGCCTTGTGTCAAACCAATCAACATATGGGGAGCATCAGTGGGTGCCCAGAACCCAGCATGACTGTGGCCTCCCCAGTGCAGCTCCCCAGCACTGCAGGCATGCAGTCAATGTCTCAATTAGCAAGCTCTACTAGTTCAATATTGCATGCATCAATAGCTCATTAACATATCTTGCTCATTTGGAACCTCATTAACATGTTTTTCACCATGACAACGTATAGCCACTGTCCTGCCTTCCTCCAGGCATGGAAACATCATGCTTTTCCACCAGGTTAAAAGCCTTGCTCCCCTTGTGCAAGAGGGTGGCCTCGTGTGTTTACTATTGGTCAGGCTTATCTCAAACACCACCCAGATTTACTTTTAGCAGCACTAATCCACAGACCACACAACCATAATGCAATTAGCAGGTCACCTTCTGGTGAGCCCATTTGTGCCATGCATAGGGACCTGCCAAAACAGCTGCCTGATGCCTGCCCAGCCAAAGCAGCTGAACCATTGAACACTGCTGCTGCCAAGCCAGAGAAAAGTCACGCAGTGTTTGTGAGGCCGGCTGCACCCTTCGGCCATGCCAGAGGCAGCTCTGCATGGCTGCTCTGCAAACTGGCCCTGGGCAGCAGGGAACACCAGGCCACACCATGCTGGCTGGGCTGGGCAAGGGGAAAGCAAAACCCCTCTCTAACAACAGCAACAGCTGAGAGTTACAGTGGAAACATTCCTCATTCAGGAAAACAAGGGAAATGCTTTCATTACTCAGCTACATAATGCTAATGTGAGAAACACCCCCTCACACCTGGCCTGGCCAGGAACCCCAGCACAGCTCCTTGCCCACATGTTCCTTGGCCATGAACAGATCAACCAAACCTGCCACATTCCCTTCCCTTCCCTTCCCTTCCCTTCCCTTCCCTTCCCTTCCCTTCCCTTCCCTTCCCTTCCCTTCCCTTCCCTTCCTTTAAAAATATGCTGCAAAGAAGGAATAAACTGGTTTTCTTGATCCCTGGAGAGTCTAGAAGATTTCACAGGCTAAACTGCAACAAGGGAGAACGAGCCTACATGGTACAAAAGGTTCCCTACACCAAATCCTACACATGGCAGTAGCTCTCCCAGCCAGTTTCTGGAAGCACCAGCAGCAGGGGCTCCAGAGGGAGAAAGACAAATGCCCACCATCACCAGCCATCATGGGCCAGCCTAGGTGACCTCCCAAGGCGTGGGGGCTGCCTCTGCCTGACAGTGCAGGCTCGTCCCTCACTTCACAGCAGCTCAGCTCCACCAGCCCCGTTGGCAGCTGGATTTGGAACGTGCTGGCTCTGCAATGCCAGGTGCAAAGGGGAAGCTGCTGAAGGGCCCCAGACAAACCCAGCTGAAGGGTCCCTCTGTTACCTGGCATGCACTCTAAGCCGTTAGCCCCGCTGGACCACACTGAGTTAGGGCCTCCTTGGCAATCGCATTTGCAAGCCTTGCTGTGCCACAGCTCCAGTCTCTCATCCTAAAGGAAAGGTAAAAATCAAGTAATAAATATACACAGTCATCAACAATAGTGTCACAAGGCCAAATCTGAATTCTGAACCTTAGACAAATGCTTGTGCCTGTCTGGACTGCTGCACCTTGTCTGAGACACTTTCCTGTTGCCAGTTCAACATGAGGCACAGAACAACTTGGATCCCCTTGGCTTCAGAGGTAAGAGCATGAAGGCCCAGGTGTTAGCCCTCCTTCTGCCCCAAGGCACCAGGGCTGGGCAGAGTCAGACCCCCAGCATTTACCTGGCAGCTGAACTATCCGGGGAGACTTACCTCTCCTGGGGAGAGGGCCATCACAGCTGGGGAGTGGGTGTGGAGGAAAAAAGAGAGAGAGAGATCAGAAACAAAGATGCTGTAAGCAAACATCAGGAAATACAATCAACATTTACTCCTGAAATAGAGACAAATAAATAGAGGAAGGACTGATGAATCTACCACATTTTCCCAAGCTGATTGCCAGGAGAAGGCAAGAGAACATGGGCAGGAGCAGGGCACTGCATGTGCTCATGTCTGTGCTGCTCCTCCATAGGGTTTTCCTTCAGATGCCTTTGGCATCTCTCTTCCTGATCAGATACACCTGAATCACCCTAAGGCACATGCTGGACCCCTCAGTCTCTGCTTTACAGCTAATTTCACTCATATCCATTTTTCTGTCCTTCTGCTCCACACTTTTCCTGTCACATTTTCCTCTTTAAATGTTTAAGCTGATTGAGCTTCAAGGGTGAAGTCCTAGCCTGGTGCCACTGTAGATCCCAAACATCTTTGGAGGAGATAGGGTACCTGAGAAGGTGCTTGGGCTGAGATCACTACCTCTGATGTGATGTAGAAAAAAGAAATGTAAATAGGCCTTCCTAATCTGTTTTACAGACAAGACTACCTTTTTTCATTTCTTAGGGGAAACCAGTAATTGTGGCTGTGGAGGAAGAGACTGCTATTTTTGCAACATCTGACCTGTTTTATCTCCTGCCTCTTACTGAGCAATGGCTTTTTATGAGGCTTTTTCTTTATTGAAAAGGTTCTTCTTGCTTCACAGTGAAGTCCAAAGCAGAGTATGTTAAAAGCTTTTAGACTGGTAGAATATTTCCCAAACAGCTATGAAAATAAAATAATAATAAAAAAAATAATCCCATGACTGCTGATAACTCATCAACACGAATCAAATGTCAAACGTCAGGTTTTCAGAGATGTAGGTAATCTACAAGCCAGTAAGGAAAAAGTGATTGAGCAGGTAAAAGCTGCATACAGGAGCCATGAGGAACCTGCCATCTCCAGACATACCGCGAATACAAAAAGATGATTTTTTTTTTACCAAATGAATTAGACTCTGAATTATTCACCGAAATCTAGTTATGATTTATTCATTCATACACTGTCACTTTGCTGAGCCTAGGAAGCTCCAGCTAATGCTGGAAATTTACATCTTACATTACTATAGCAAGTTTCATCTCAAAAGACTCACAAACACAGAGCAATTATAATCAGCTGAAATATAAACTATATACAAAGCTCTGCTTATTACTGAAATGCAACTGCTCCTTGGGTGTGAAAATGAATCTAAATGTATCAAGAGTCTAAAAGAAAGACCTTCAAACGTAAAATGATAAATTTTTAAAAATTCTTTTCTCTAACACAGAGATGGTGTCCTGTGCTTCAGTGTCCCAGAGTAGCATTTCTGGCATCAGGAACTTATCACATTTACCCATGGAATTGGCCTTGGCAGAAGAAGTAAACACCAGTCTACAATAAAAAGTTGTGGCTTCTAGTCAGGCTAAAGAGGAAGGCAGGGATCACCCAGAGCCCAGCATGCTCAGGAGGAAAACGTGCTTGTACATCTCCAGACAGCTCGGAAAGTGTAGGCTGGGGGCCCCACACAGCACTGCACTGCACCTGTCCCAGCACAAATGTTACCAAGCCAAGCCCTGGGACTCCACTGTGCCGTCAGAAAACCAAGAGGGGCAAACCCAGAATCACCCCTGTGCTATGCCACATGGGGCAAAGAGGTTTGACTTACACCTGTGTGAAGATGATTTAAGTTAATGCTGTCTGTCAGTACAAGAGAAACCAGGATTTTATCACTTACCAAAACTGGACCATATTTGCTAATAAAAATAAAGCAGTGTCTGCCTCTCCTGCCTGCTCTATGATGTTTGATGCTAGTGCAGGAGAGGCACTGGTACCTGGGGCATGAGATCCAGGCTGGCAGGCATCCCTCCTGCCCCCCTGGCCCACAGAGTGGTGTCCCTTCCAAGCAGGACAGGTGCCCTACTCCAGGAGCACCAGCTGCAAGGGCTTCCTTACCCTGACATCTGGGATTACTCCCCAGCCTGCTGTGTGTTCCCATTGCCCAGCAATCCCTGGCTCACAGGCCTACAGGTTCAGCTCTTTCCATCTGCTTAACCACTTTATTTTCATTTTTAGAAGATGGATTTTTGCGGAGAAAACTTTTGTGGTTTGGGTTTGGGGGGTTTTTTTGGGTTTTTTTGTTTGTTTGTTTGTTTGTTTGTTGTTTGTTTGTTTGTTTGTTTGTTTGTTTTGTTTTTCTTATGGTGGTTTAATGTACTTTAGCCTGGAAAAGGAGTTGTAAAAGGCTTCTTCTGGATCATGGAGTCCAGCCATTAACCTAAGGAAGTTATGTTCCATGACTCTAGTGTGGTGAGGCCTGTTCTTGAGCACTGCATGCCTGGGTGGGGGAAAGGGGATGTGAGTTACCAGGATGGTGTAGGATATTGCTTTGTGACCTTGTTGAGCCCTTCAATAGGCTCCTAAGTCCCTCCCTTTGAGAGCCAAGATCAAAATTTAATATGCCAAATTGACACATGCAGCTGGAAATTCAACAGCTGTGAGTGAAACATCAGGCAAAATAGGAATAGATTTCAGGTGGGTGGGGGTATGGTAGCATCAATTCAACCACCCAGCATAAATCCTCCTCCCCAGGTGACCCAGCATTTTGTGGGTGGCTGCACTCAACCAGTGGTGCCTGCTCCTGAGCTATGAGAGTGGCTTTGTAGGGCTTTTAGCCTCATCTGCTAGGGGACACCACTGCAAATCAAGCAAGGGAATGAATTTCAAGCAGAAAAGCCCTTTTTTCAATGCAATGTTTTATTGGGTCAGTCCCACAACAGGCAGTGGTGCAAAGGCAGTGCCAGGGCACAGGTGCTGGTGTGCTGCCCCTCTGGCTGTCCCAGCTGGGTTGGGCACCTCTACTTCTCACTGCATAACTTGCTGATTGAAACACCACAAACTGGAGTTCATCTTCCCCTTTTTCAGCTAGGAGAGGTGGACTGCTAAGGGCTCACTCCCAAAGGGACTCAGCCATCCAAGCACGGCACAGGGGAGCAGCAGGCTTGGCGTGGGGGAAGCATAGCAGTGGATGGCCAAATACCCTGCCTGGGCAGTGCAGCCTGATAACCCCAGGCCTTGGGAGAGGAAAGCAAATGAAAGATGCCCTTGCCCGCAGTTGGCCACAAAACATAGTAATTGATATATTGGTGTGTTTACAGCTATGACAAGCCCTGTCCTACAAAGGAAATGAAGAGGAAAGCTGGCTGCCAATAGTCTAAAAGTGTGATGGGCAGTATGCTTTTATAGCAAGTATGTTTGCCTTCAAGGAAGGTTACAAAGATAATTGGTAATTGTAGGTCAGACAGAACCAATTGCTGCAATTCAAGGGAGAGTCATATGGCCTGCACAGCTGCCAGGGTCTGTTGTTTTAAAAGCACAGGACTGACAAAACCCCCAAAACATTAAAAAGGAAAGAGCTCTATTTACTGCCTCCCAGGACCTTCAGCAAACCACCAGTTCAGTGAAATAAATTATTATCTGTGTCTGTGGGAGGCAGGGAGTTAAGGCATGTGCCTTTCCTGTCCCTTCATCCCACCCTGCAGTGTGGTGTGTCCAGAGCACTGCCATGCACGAATGCTATGCCATAGCACAGGATTTAGAGACCAGGGTTTTGGACAAGATCCAGGGGATGATTTTGTGCCAGGGAACCTGTGCTGGTGAGGCTGGGCTGGAGCCCAGGTCCTGAGATGTCCCCACTTGGCACCTGCTGCTGAGCAGGATGAAGGGGAATGATACTCCAGGAACTGGTCCAGGTTTGGGGCAGAAAGAAAAGAGCTGGCAGAGGCAGCCTTGGGGTGGGGTTTCCTCAGGTGGAAGTTGGATAAAGCAGCAGCCACAGCTTAGGGCTACTTGGAAAAAGGGGTAATCAATAGCAAGGAAACCCAGCTGCTGGTGTTTTAATGACAGGAACATTTAACTGTGTTTCTCAGAAAATTTGTAATCATTGGGAATGTGGTTAAACAAGAGAAAGAAAGGAGGAAGATAAGTGTGGGCAGAAGTAACACTGCCAAAGGCTGTGTTCAATACAGTAACTCTGAGGAATCATATTCACTATCCTGACCATAAAGTGACAGCAGCAAGTCATCTTTTAGTGTAGGAATTAATGACAGACATACGAGCATGAGAAAGCACATTGTAAATATGAAAAGGAAGAAATAAAATATAACACAGAATAAATGTCAGTCACTCAATTTACTAGAATAAGTTCACATAAACTTATCATTACAGGCAAAATATGTGGAAAATGTTATATCTCTTTATTTATTTACTTTATTATGTAGGTGTCCTAGAAGCTTCAGCTGGAAAATAGTTGATTTTTTGCGTCATCTCTGTAAGCACCATCTCAGTTTAATGGTGCTCAGAGAGGTAAAATTATTTTCTCTCCTCCCAATAGAGAGCAATGCCCCCATAATGCAGCAGTGCTTTCTGGGCACAGTGGCTTATTTAGCACAGATAGTCACCTTTTCCCTTCTGCACCTGTGGGTTAAGGGGTAGAGGAAAAGAAAATACCTTAAACCCCAGAAAAATAAGGCTGGAGCCCCAGAAATGCTCCAAAAAGTCACAAAAATGAAAGGAATGGCTGGAATGGGTGGCACTGGTCTTACCATGCTTTCTGAAAAGCCCTCTCCCTGAGCACTGCATTAGCCAGCATCAGGAAGCAGAGTTAGGTAACAACAGCCTGTAAGCAATGCCGAGGGTCGAAACACTGAAAAAAGCATTGCAGCGCCTCTGTGCCATTGGGTGCTAGTTTGTACCTTGCTATATTATTAACTTAGGCTATTTTTACATCCCAGCCCTGCGAATCGTGCCAGGCGGCTGAGGTGACTCACAGCAGGTTGCACCAGCCTCCGCAAGAAGGTTGGTGCGTTTCGGGAAGCTGCCACAGTTGCGGCGTTCTCCCCATCTCTCCTTGCCCCGGTGCCAGAGGCAGTGGTCCCAGGGGTCCCTGCTGCAGCTGTGGCCGGTCCCCAGGTCCCCTTGGCAAGCAGAGCCCCACTGCCCACAGGCTTCGTGATTGTTTTTGTTGATTTTCCCCCGGGGCTTTTTCCATGGCCAGGCTAGGCAGGCTCCACGGGATCCTGTGCCGTGCAAACAGCGCCTTCACTTCAACGAGCGGAGCTTTAAAGGCCACGGGGGCTGTGCCAGCAGGCAGGGACCTCAGGACACCTGCACATCTGTGTCCTCCCGAAAATATCGGCAGCCAGGCTGGCCTGGGGACACCTAAAGGCAGGCTCTCTTGTCCTGCGGGTGACGCTGGGGGCCGGCAGCGCGCCCGGAGCCCGGCGCGCACCAGCCCCGGCTCCGAGCGCTGCGGTCACAGCGCTGCGGTCACAGCGCAGACCAGGGCAAGGGGACATCAGCCTGCAAAGGGCACGTCTCATGCTTTAAAATAAGCTTCTCTCTCAGGCTTTAAACCGGCTATTCTTTTCCTCCTTCGTTTTGTGGGGATTCTTCACTGTTGTGTTATTTTAAGTTCCATTTCATTTTCTTTATTTGAATGATTTTCATAAGGTTTTCCTTTTCATTCCTTTTTGTTGTGGTTCATTTAATAGTTACTAGTATTTACTTGAAGGCAATAAAAAACATATTTCAGTAATCACAATTACACTTATTTAATTAATATTAGTTTCCCTTTTCCCATAATGTTTCCACTAAATTTTTTTATGTTGTGACAATATTTAAGAAAAGCTAAATTAGTTCTTTAAAAAATCTACCTTTCCTCCCTTTTTTCTTATGAGATGTATAATTGATTACATTTTTTTTTTTCCCCAACGTGTTACTTAGATACGTTCAGCATTTTCTGACCTCATTGACATGTTTGTTCCTTCCTGCTTGGAACTACACAGAACTAGTACAGTATTTACTACAGCATAGTAATTTCATTAGACGCATTGATTACGCTGAAGGGCAGCTCTCCTAAAAATATTATTTACTTTGATCCAAAAACATGTTTGATCTTTTAATGTTTGGTTTTTTTTTTGGGGGGGGGGGGGGGGGGGGGGGGGGGGGAGGAGAATTTTTCTTTTGTTTCCCAAAGCTACATAAAACAGAGGTGAAAAAAGAGAGCTCCCTCCCCTTGAATTGCCGAGGTGTGCTGGCTCCTGCTGCCCCATGCGCTGCTGCTGCCGCTGCTCTGCTGTGTCCCCAGCCAACACGAGCCCAGCCGGGGCCCCCGGGTGCTCCTCTAAGCCACTTGCTGTGCCAGGGAAAATAAACTAAGCCGCTTATCGTGGCATCAGTGCACGTAGCTCCGAGCTGACCTAGCGGCACCTTCGTGCTGGGAGAGGCAGCAGTGCGAGGGGCACCTGAGCTGCTCTTTTTATCCACAAAAGGACGCTCACACCGCGAAGCAGAGAAAAACAGTAAGCTAAGAAATACAATAAATAAAGAAAATGAATTAAATACCAAAGGAGTGATGCCTGGAAAGTGATCTTGCGACTTATTTTTCACTGCAGGCTCTCCAAAAATATCCCGATGTGTGGGTGTCTATTAAAAGCAAGCTGTGTCTGGAATTCAGAGCAAGGTATATGAACTTATTCCAAGGACTAATTGCAGTTATGCCACCCATAGGGAAAAAAATGCTGGAGTCTGTATAAAAACACTCTTCCTAGAAGCTCAGGCACCAGTAACCTTCCCAAGTGAAACAAAAGAGAGCGATGAGATAATGTACGAGGAGAACGTACAAATATTTGCTGGGAGATTGAAAGAAAGACCTATTAATTAGGCAGAGCTGGGTACAGCCAAAAATAACAAGATGAAATGAAGGCATGGCTAGTTGAGGAGCACTTATTTTCCTACCCCTGAAATTTGGTAGAGCAAAATATTCAACAGAAACACAGAAAGAGAGTAAAAAACAGATATACAAAAACACTGGGAATTCAACACCCACATGAGAAAAGTTGGGCTGATGAATCTGTTCCTCACCCTGACAGATCATACTCGATTCACACATTCATGTTGGTAGACACTGCCCACCACTTACCAAGAGCAACCCTCAGCCTCATTTAAGAAAAAAGTACCTCTGCCATTGGCTTTGATGAAGCCAGAAATTTAAATATGAACCAGGAAATTATCTCCTTGTTCTCCAGCTTGAGTGAATTAAAATGGAAGGAGTTGTCACACTAAATTTTCTGTCTCCTTCTAGCTCTCCCTTACCTACTTTTGTTGCTACTTTTCTGAAAAATGAATATGAGAAAACCTCAAAATTGATAAATACCTTTCCCATTTTCTAGACTTATGAATCGCTTTTTTTTTTTTCTAAAAGTATCTTTGGAAGTCTTTCCCAGGCCGAAATACCTTGAAAGGCCTTTGAAAAAAAGAGCAATCTTCATCAGCAATGTCTTGCTGCTGGAGAAAATGATCAGTTTTTGATTAATCAAAAGTTTTGATTAATGAAGGACCAGTTTTTCATGTTATACTGTACCTCATTTTTCAAATCAGCATTATTATTTACACACTGGCTCAGCTGCACTACAATTTTCTTTGCAAATTCATATTTTGACAAATTATATGGCAATTTTTTTACACTGCAATTATTTTTTTTTTGAAACAGAGTTTTACTACTGAATATTCATAGAGCTGTAAGAATGCTGCTCACTCATGTACATAAATTACACATCTCCTCCACATTTTGCCTTTCCCCAAATTATTATGTTTCCATGAGAATGTAGAGAAGAGCTTGCTCTGTACCCCGCAGCCCCTGGCAGAAGAAAGAGTGCCTGAAACAGGAAACACAAAGAGGGATATTTGAAAGCGCCTCTCAGGAGGCAAAGTGCATACCTTTGTACCAGAAAAGAAGAGACAGCAGGACGCTCCCCATCTTGAACTGCATCTTTTCCTTCCTCTGTTGTGAATAGCTCCTTAGTGCACTGCTTGGCTTGATGGGAAAGCATGAGATTACCTTAAGCATTGCCTAAGCACCTTACTCTCCTCCATTCCCATGATTTTATCAAGCCCCATCAAGCCAACCACACAATAGTTACTGTCAAACTACATCCTAGAGGCTGTGCCATCTGTAACAGTTTTTAAAAGGCAACACGTACTGAGGTGCTGACACTCTGAGTGTGAATCTGATTGTACATGCAGACATATGTCCAAATAAACCAGGATATACCTACATATAAATCACATACACACCCTACAGAAATGCAGATGCCTAATGCTCATAAAAGATGTATAGTATATATTGTCTATTGTATATAGCATGTATTCATTATCTTCCACCCCAATTATTTACCTCGACACTCGCAGTGTCTTTCCTAGCAATAGCTGTGTGTAGAAATCTGCCCTGGCCTTACTGCTCTTCCAGTCACCTAATTGCACAGGGCTGAAAACTGCAATTAGTAGATCAAACAAAAATAGTGGTTTTCAGTTGTTTACTTGCTAGGCTGCAAAAATCTCTAACCAAAACTGTAAACCTCTCTTTGCTAACATTTCTACCAACAGTATTCTCTCAACCAGCCTACATCAAAGATTTGATTTTAGAATGACTGATTCAAGATAAAAACAAACAGCCAGTGATTCCAGTGAATCTTGCACCTGTTCCTCCAATCTCTGTTGATCATATGAAATTAGCAGTGAATTTTTAATGGAGGTTTTTAAAAGCAATTGCTTCAGAAGCAGCTTGCTTTGTTGCAAGAGATCTCAGATTGTATGTACTGGGAATAGATTAAGGCACTGCTTAGATCACATAGGCTGCAGTTGAGTTATGCCAGTTGTGTGTCTACTCTTCTGGTTTATATTCATTCAAAAATGCTGTGCAAACAAGGATGCTGGCTTTTCAAAAACAGTTCCCTGGGCAAGATTCATTTCACTTGCCTTTGGATACCCACAAATTTGGAATGCCTTGTAAATTTGTTGTCAGGTACAGCATCCCACTGCAGTCACACCTCCAGCATCAGCACACCCCAGACTCACCAGGGTATGTGACATGGATGGGAGGAGTCTCCCACCAAGGATCTTACTGCTTTGCTGAGCCTCAAGGAGTTTAACCTCCTCAGCCCAACACTTTTTCCACTTTACCCTACCTCCATGGAGAGGAGGGCTGTCACAGGCAGACCCCTGTGGCACAGACATGTACCACATGTATAGACATGACCACTCTGCTTCATGGACCTGGGCCAGCTCACCCCAAACACTGGGGGAGAATCTAAGCATGTCAGGAAAAGCAAGAGGGGAGCTCATCCCAGGCCCCAGGAAGGAAATAATTTTTCTAAGGGCATGGGGCTGCTCCTGGTTTTCTGCCAAAGGCCTCTTGCACATATGCTGTTCCTATCCTGGAGCAGTGATACCCACCAGAAGGTCCAGCCAGGAATTAAAGAAATATGAGACCCACTGAGGGTACCAGGGCAGGCTCTGGGCATCTGATGCAGTGCAGCATCTCACTTCAGTCTCTACACAGTATCCTCTTTATATTGTTCAGTCTAAAATGGGCTGCCACAGAGACAGAGATTTTCAGATCTGCTGAAGACACTCTATTCCCTCTCTGCATTGATGAGCAGTTGGTGTCTAAATCTCATGGGTTTGAAAATCCCAGCTTAAAAATCCCTAAATACCTTCATCCACATATCTCTTGGAAAACCAGATCTGAGCTTCAGTCTCTTGCCTTATGGTCTCATAAGGACAGGTCACACAGAAGGAGAGCTACTCACACAAAGAGAAATCACCTACCATGCTTAAAAGAAAAGCAAAGCAAATTTCTCTCCCATCATCACATGCAGTTTTAAATCAGCTTGGTTTATGGTCAACCCCACCCTTCAAATACATTTTGATTTTGTGTAAGAAATGCACAGTAGCTCAGGGAACGTGTTCAGAAATAGCACAGCTCTTATCAAAGAACATTCCGTCCAAAGGGATACTCTTAAGACTGGTGGCTGCCCGGTTGTAAAACTCCCTCAACACAGAAGGAAACGCAGCCTTTGTTTTAAAAAATGGTCTATAGCATTCAAAAAACTGAACTGTTTCACATGAAGATTAGAAGAGCATTTAAATTAAAGTCTCTATATAAATACTATGCAGTTCAGATAGTCTATGTCTAATGGTGTTGATAGTCTTTCATTTTAATAACTATAAACAGCGAAACCATGCTACCACTGCAGACAGCATTGCTAAATAAATAATGTATTTAATTCCTAGCAAGCACAGAAATATTTTCAGGTACAGAAGGCAGAAAAAATTTAATGGCCAGTATATAACACAACACCAGAAATGGCTACATTTGCCCTGTATAAAAAAGAAAAAATACAGTTTTGAAAAGGATAAAGATTAGTCTGGCATTGATTATAGAACAAAAATGAGACTAGTAAAAATAGCACAAATTAAGACATTTTGGTAACATTCCCACTGCTATGTAAACCAGGAACTACCTGGACAGGTTTGCTCTTTTGCCCATACGTCTTCTCCAGCTCTAGCTCATGTCCCATTGGCCCTAAGACATTTTGCTATGTTTTCATAGCCCTCAGAAATATTGGTATGTTTTCCTCTGCCAGATTTTGGGGAAAAAACACAGCAATCACCCCGCACCATGGAGATGCTTTTAGTCTGACTGGCAGCATGTGTGTGTGACCTTGGAGGAGAATCAGGAGGCAAAAGTACTTGTGTGTGACAGAGATGTGGAACTCCACACAGCAGTGTCACGTTTCTCCCCAAGTCAGAGTGCCAGACGGCTCAGTCAGAGCAGCACACACAGATCCATGTGTCTGGAAGCTAACGCACACGACAAGCAGTGTCTCAGCAAAAAATGTGTGACTGGCATGCTTTTGTTTTAGCACAGTAAGGGAATGTACAAAACACACATTTACACATGTACGTGTGAACCACGGACATCTCTCAGAAGCAGGATACAGATGTGCAGAGAGGGCAAGACTGTCAACGCTTTTAGAGACTGAGTCAGGAGCTGAATCCCCTTCAAATGGATGGATGGAGCTGCAGTAGTCTACACACATTTAAGACATGCTCTCAGAACAAAACATTCCTTTTACAAGTCTGCAGCATGAGTTTAAGTCATCCTCTGAAAAGAAGACTTTTTCCTAAATGTAAGAAAACATGAGGCAGATAATTACCCCATGCTGACCACCAGGCCCAGGTCCATTCCCTGTAACTCCTGCACTCGGGGCTGCTGTGGCTGTTGATGGCAGGGTAGGCACCACGGAATCACCATCCCTATTAGATGGGATGTACCTACACCAGAGGTTTGCATATCCTACATTAGGAGAAGTCTAGCTACATCTGCCTCTGCTTTGAGCCTGTATCCTGGAAGCAATCAGTCTGTGGAAGACAATTTACCCCAGATGGGGAACCACATTGCTCTGGCTTCACCTCCTGTGGGCTGGGCACACACTGCTAAGCAAATAAGCAGAGGAAAGCCAGATCTGAGTACTTCTGCACTTTCAGGTTGAGGGATGCACAGGCCCTTAGCACCAGTATGGTGTTAATGTTGCAACTTTAGCCTGCCAGGTCTCACTATGGGATGTGCGGCTGCTTTACACCCAAAAAAGCTTTTGCAACCTGGCCCAGTTATGCTTGCATTGGTCTGCAATCTCTATCTGCAATCTTTAACTGCAGCTTGCCCGTACCCCAGAGCGTTTGTTTAGTGAGAACAAGCACTGACAAAGGTTAATAGTTTTCTCCATATGATGATGAAGGTAAGTTTCTTAATAAGTCTCTGATTAAAGCAAGTTAAGCCAATTTTTTCTCTTTAATCTTTAAGATAGGTAAATCACACTCTCCCACTCTGATCCTTCAAAGATACTCAAGAGCTGATTCCAGGTCAGTGGAGCTCAAGGACTCTTCTCCTCCTCCTGCAGAGATGCCTTAGCCCCAGCACTTGATAGGGCTCCCACGCACAGACAGATGCTGGGCCAGCACCCATGCCCGGAGGTTACCCTTTTCTAAAGCCTTGCACGTGCAAAATGAGACGTTATAATTTTAAAATGAAACTGCTCCAAGGCAAGCTGAAATGGCTCTTTCTTTCCCAGTTAATGAAAACGATATGCACAGTACAGGGGAAAACAAGGGTGGAGTTAACTGTCCTTGCTAGATGTGTGCTGTGAAAACTGCTGGCCTTTCCCCGGCGCTCAAATAATGTCTCCAAACACAGAGATGGAAGGACTCCTGTCCCAGTCTGTCCCGGTGAGACGGCTTGGGGATGCACGGGGCTGCAGACTTCGCCACTGCCTTTATCTCTCGCTGCTTGGGAGCAGGCACAGGCTGCTGCTCCTGCCCACTGCCTCTGCTCCCTGTGGTCTCCTCGGGTGCCCCTCCGAGGGAACATGGTAAAGTGTGGGGATTCCTCTACTGCGCTGGCAGGGAAAGGCTCCTCTGCCAAGGTTGCAGCCTCTGGAAGAGATCCCGTGGGACAGCGTCTCCCCTGAGGCGCTTTTCTGCTCCCCTGGAAACTGCTCCACCTCTGCCTCTGCCACACGCAGGGCCCGCGACTTCCCCGTCCTGTGGGGGAAACAGCTAAACCGAAAGTCACGGCGTTAAAAGAAATTATGGAAAACTTGGTGTGAGGCAAGAAAAACACACCTCCCACCTGAGCGCTGGTTCCACTGGGGCTCGAACCCAGGACCTTCTGCGTGTAAAGCAGACGTGATAACCACTACACTATGGAACCGCCGCGACAGACTGCTCCTTCTGCGCTGCCCCTATCGACGACATTCTGGCCACACCTCCCTCCCCGGCTGACGACGGAAGTCTGGTATTTTTTTTTAATTGCTGGGTGATTAAAAACAAATGTAGCAGTTAAAAATTACCCTAACGCCTTTTCTGCCCTTCTGATAGCTACAGAGGGGCAATGACGGGGGTGAATCAGCTCCCGGTAAGGCTCCTGTGCGTGTTGCGGGCAGCGGCGGGCCCGCTCTGCCCAGCCGCACACGGCGCACAGGAGCTGGCAGCGACCCTGGGGCGTGGGGGCCACGCTACAGGG